AGACTGATTGAACAATACAGTTTGTAAAGCAAGCGGTGCGCGACGGAGACACGAGTGTTTACCGCTGCGAAGCTATGATTCATATAATATTGTGCGTATGTATGGAGAAGCGACTGTTTACCTCTAACAAAAAATCACTAGCTGCTTGTTCTATTTCATATATTTCATGATTATCGTGGATTATCACTTACTCCACGTAAAGATTAACCAGGGATACTAATTATACGCAGATAATCACAAAAACTGCAAAAATGGAGTTACGATCGTTAACCTCTAAGGCACGGATTTGCATTAGAATAAATTTTTTCGGTGATTGTTTGAGCCCTTTCCAGTGATAAGAACACATCCTGGATTTTTGGTTCTCTGGTTAGTAATAATGTCTATAGACCAAACCAGTGGCGAACGAAATATACTGAATGGATGATTAGCAGAAAGACTACCAACTTTATAGTTAATAATTATAGAACAAACAATTCAAAATCAGTACATGACTATATCTAATACTAACTAGCCGTTTGAGAATTTAAAAGTAAGGGTTTGACGCAAACTTTAAACTTCTGAACTGAATATGTTTTGAAAGCATCATCAATATCATTATAAATAGTGACCGCATTGTATGTAAAAGACCGTCTTTCAATAACAAAATCCCTCGATTTTAATTAAAATAAGACAGATACAAAAAATGTCGAACCTTCCTATTGAACATGTCTGGGACATGATAGGTCGCATGTTCTTGCATTTGCAACACCTTCCACAGACTTTAGCAGCTCTTACTCACGAAGTTGCAGTAGCCTAGAATGAGATACCCCCAACAGGGAAAATTTTATCATTATACTAGAAAGGGGCACTCTAGATATATGCCAAAAATTATTAAAATCCGATAAACATACCTGGGGGGAACCTTTTTTTTGTCACTCAGTATATTACCAACATCAGGTTGAGCAGCAGAATGATAATTAATCTGGGAATGTGGAATCGAGGTAATTGTATGTCTCTTGGTTGCTTTCCAAAATTCTTAGATACCTAGATCCTTTTCCCAATTATCTATCAGTCAACCTAACAATACCCGAAAGGCAGCACTAGATAATGTTAGCATCCAAAAGGTAAAACATATATCTGGTATCAATATCAACACCAATTAGATTCGGATATTGGAACCGGATATAAGCAGAAGCGAAACTAAACAGGACTGTTAATAATCTGGTTTAGTCCACATGCTTGCTTTGCCTGAATTCCCCCTTACACGCCATGCTTCAGGCACCAAGTTTGATTAGCAAAGTTACTTATAATAATATAAACATGAACCTCTCATCGACATGTCTGTAAACTAATGTTGATGGATATAATATGGTCAACGCAAGACTAGAAAAGGGACATTCCTACATTTATAGTCAACTCATGAGGGCTGAGTGCTGATTGGACTTCAAACGAACAATGAAGCATCTTTGAGTGGAGGTTTTCTTGACAAGAAAAAGCTTTTATAGTCACTCTCAGGCAGAGTACTGTACTGTCAACCTTTTTTGCCAAAAGTGTAAGACTCTCCAAATGTATGCTTGTATATGCTCATAGGAAGCTGACTAGCTAAGATGAATTCAAAATCCAAAAGTGATAAATAAGAACACAAACATTGAAAATCAATAACACTATGTAGTTTCCATAGTATTAGCATATAAAGTATAATAAATTTTAAATCGAAATTAAAAGGGGACACATTCCAACATTTCCTAAAAAGAGAAAATCAACATATAGTGAAAAACTATTAGTAAAGGGGTCAATTTAAAATAAAAATTAAAAGGAAATACATTTCAACATTTTCTATATGGATGGTTTATTCTACCGTAAACTCTTATTTTGAACTGAAAGAGAAAACCTAGCTAATGAAACCAGGGGCTTAACTCAGTCCAGCCTAAACATCAAACATACTTAAATACTATTAATATCAAAATATAGTAAAAACTCGTTAATAAGGACTGATAAATCTATTTTATTGGTGCCAATATAGTGAATATTGTTGGTCGATGAGTAATCTTTCAGAAGGGAACTATTGATTTGGGAGGTTGATTCAGGGAGAAAAACAGAAATAAAACTCATTAAAATGGCAAGAAGAACCTAGATAATGAGACTGTGTCGTTGAATCAGAACAAACAAAACAAAACCAATGACCATCATTATTATCAACATATAGCGGAAACTTGTTAATAAAAGAGTGATGATAAAGAGAAGAGACGCTATTATATACTCTGAAAACCAAACTTGTATGACAGCTTGAGTCCAATGTGTACGAGAGAGAAGTGTGTATAGAGACATATGTTAGAAAAATATAGAAGCCGGCAGGATAGCGAAGCTCATTACCGCGTCGCCTAGCAACGCTGGCGCGGCAATCTGCCGCGTTGCCAATATGGTACACCAGTTCCTTGAATTAAGATGCTTGTTGAAAATATGCGTTAACTTATTCTCTACGCCAAAATAATGATTTTATTTCAAGCGAGCACGTTTTTGAATTTCGATTTGTGTCGAATCCGTTTAGGGTCGATTCCGTATCGGATCCAACGGCACTTCGTCTTAGGTCGAAATGGAAAGTCAGGATCGGCACAAATTCTGCAATATTGCATCATCGGTTCGCTTGGCAACACCGTATCTCGTACATTCCAAGGCAAGGTTTCCACCCCAATGGTCAAAGATGAGCGATTTTGGTCAGTACCCATCTAGCGCTCATTGAAGAGTATATTTGTTACATCTTCCGACCGCTCGCTGTCGCAAAATGTAACAATAATTCAGGGTGTGTTGATTTTATCACCATCGATGAAAATGAGAAGTAATTCTAACATATTTATGACACTACGTCGCATTAAAATTGAAATAAATAATTATAATCAAAGTGAAAACAAAATACTTATGAATTGAATGTTCGAACGGACCTCCATCTTGGGTTTGACAGTAATCTAGCCTATTGTAGAAATCTGTACGAACATTTTCTGCATCACCGTTGCTAGGCAATGTGGTGATAACCTTCGCTCTTCAGCCGGCTTCTATCTATTTCTAACATGTGTTGATATACACTTCTCGCGCTTTTCTCTCGTGCACATTGAACTCAAGCCGTCAGACAAGTTTGGTTTACCTTGTAGGTGGCTTACTCCAGTGGCAAAGGGAAGAACACTTTATTTTTAAGAGAAAAAGAAACAACCTAGCTAATGAGACTAGAGGTTGGCTCAGTTCAACACGATGATTGAATGGGTTGTTTTATCTATGTACCACCTCGTCTCATTAGCCAGGTCTTGTCTTTCCTTTTCCAAATAGTCATGATTGACTACTTATTACAACTTTCACTTACAATCAATTTTAGGTTTCTACCATAACCTTTCCACTGTTACTTTTATAAACGAAATATTTTAATCCTTATTGGATTTGCAAGTAACGGTAGCTTTGCCCAATGGTGTTGTGCATAAAAAATGCTCCTGAATCTGCCCCCTGCTTCCGAATGTGCGCAGTTAGACGTTTCCTTTTGATTTTGTAAACATAAATTTGTTCATGGACTGTTATTTCTCAAAATTTAGTTTTGTTGGCATCCACGCCGATTTGTGTTCATTCAGCAACCGCCATGTTGTATGATCAAACTTTGACAAACGTATACTATGGAAATTACATGATTTTATAATTTTCCAATCTTAGTGTACGAGTACTTATTGATCAATATTTTAAATTCTGGTGTGTTGATTAATGGTTTTCCTCCGTTCTTCTCGTAGATATTGGCGTGCAAGTATTCTAATCGCGAAAATTTCGATAAATGAGATATATTTTTCGAATCTTACATGTCATGAAAACACATTTTAGAGTTAAGAAAATTTAGGGGTGGAGGTTGTAAGAGAATGGGGAGGGCTTATTTCAATTTACGTCATCACATCATAGTTTCTTCCGTATATTGTCCCTTAAGTATTTCTCCCGCAGCGCCACATAGTGTTTCCTATACTCTGGCCTTCCACGTCTGACCGGGTTAAGTATCGGGGAGAGGCGACCTTGCCAGTTTCACTATTGGTAGAGCAGGGAAAGAATGTATTTGATTTAATTGGGTGGACCTTTTTTCTGACTTTTTTCTCAAAGGGTCAAGTTTGTGTAGAGCATAATTGCACTCAGAGGGGCGTTGCGTGGGAAGTACAGAATCATTTTTTATTGCTCGTCCTGAGAGAGAACTTCATGTTGTCAGTAGGTTTTTCAATGATATTGTATTAACTTTAATTGACAAATACAGACATACTCTTTGTACTATGTCCTAACGTTTTTACTGGCCTGACTTCGTTTTGCGTTTGGCTGCTTCCCTGAGAATTTGTCCTTTGCATTTATGCTCATATATGCAGCACCATATATGCGACACTAACCTTTCCAAAGTAAGTATAGTAAATCGAGAAATAACTGTTACAAATTCTTATAGATGCTACCAAGGTATTTCATTTTATCTCGGATAATTTTTTGGACACGAGAATAGATATTTAATCCCTTTTTGACTTCGAATATTCGCTTTCCTAACCCTAACAATGAATGCTAGTTTCTACCTATTGGAAATTATAACTACTTCTGTCTTGTCAGGTGCTAATATAGTCATCGTGATTCCATAATCCAAAACTGCTTTTAGTAAACCTCTCCACTTTCTTGTTGCTATCATAAGTCAGCATACCCTATTAAGCAGGGATTTAACATTTGCATTGCTCGATAGGTTGTATCAGTTATCAGTTTTAAAAATTTTTAAACTAAGCATTTTTTAAATTTTATAAATTAAAATATCTGAAGGTTCTGTAACTTGTTTTAAGTTTTGAAAATTCTGATAATTTTGGTAAATTCTAAATATTCTTAAAGCCTGTGATAGCCTCTTCAGATATGGACATGTGAATCTCCACTTCAGAGTTACCCAAGAATGAAATCCAGGTGTTGACATTGATTGAAAATGTGTCCTTTTGTAGTGTATTTACACTAATAATATAGTACTAACAAGATCGTTTATGTTTCAGATAATCCCGAAGCCCGAATAGTTCTTGGTACGTCTCTCAATCCTGAGAACATCCGCGAAGGGACTGATGTCTACTTTGACTGCATCGTCTCCGCTCACCCTCCTGTCTACAAAGTGGAATGGAGACACAATGTAAGCCTCCAAATCATGTATAATAGAGCTTCAGTACACCAAGGATGTAATGTCAAAGGTTATGGGCTAGTGGGATATAAGAAGAAGCAAATGGTTTTACCCACACAATATCAAATAAATACGCTTATTCTGGCCTCAAGACTCAATTATGAGTCACTAGAATAGGAATAAAACTTCAAAATATAGATATTTAATAAGTAAAGCGAGAATTAATACATTATATACTCGTTGTTTTGCGAAGTTGGTCCGACCTATATTTGAATCAGTTCGTTCTATTTGTTAATATACTACTATTATTGCTTTCAAGATATATTTACTTGCCCTCCAACAACAACAGTCACCGACTTAGTTGGTTTTGTGTGGACTGCTCGTCAGCTACTTTAATGGGACAACGGAAAGCATATGGACGATAGTCCTATTATTAGCTTTTCTTTAAGATAACGAATTGCAATCATTTCACGGCTACTGGCTAAGGAACCTAAGATCTTAATTTGACTATAGTCCGATAGGAAATTGGATTTTTGGTAGTTCCAAAGATATTTGTCAGAAATTAAAATAGGGAGGAGTTCGCGATTTACATCAAATAGCGCCTTGAGGCAGTATAACTGACAAATGGTACATCCTAGATAATTATGTAATCATGAAATTTTGTAGGAAAATGACATTGGCAATATTTCCTTGTTGATGACTTTTTCTTGTAAAGTGAAACATTCAATTTTCGCTGAATATAAGAGTGCTAGGGTCTCGGACCCTTTTAACATATTTCAGCAGTCTCTGAAGGAGGAAGAAATAAGCCATAATTTGACACCAAACTGTCCATGATTAATGGTGTTCTTGGGTATTATTCTGCTGCATTAGTAGTAAATTAGGGGCGGGACTTATTTATAAAAAAACAAAATATCATCCTTTAATATATGCGACATTTAAAAAATATCATTCTCATAATTATCTTGCTAAAGTCATAAACCACTAACCGTATTTTATCCTGGAACAACATGAGTCCAGAACAGTTTTTCGTTTTGTTTTCCATAATCGTTATTAATAAACCTATGAGTAATCATACTTTCTGTTCTAGGGAAATATCCTGAGCATAAATATAGCAGCGGGAATCATAATTACGAATCAAAGCTTGGTGTTACAAAGCGTTTCTCGGAAAACTGCGGGCAACTACACATGTGTGGGATACAACACTGAAGGAGATGGTGAAAGTATGCCGTTCTTCTTGAATGTTCTATGTAAGTACCTAAATATGTGTGATGATATAGTTTATAGCCAAAGGGCTAAAAATCTTATGTCTCTGATAGATCATAGTTGTTGAGCTTTCGTTCGTTGTTCCACTCGAGTACAAGCCTAGACCATGCAAAAAACACAAAATAGCTATCTATGGTTGGCCATCTGTGATCCGACGGACGGAAACTATAGTACTAGTACCTGTGTTCAATGGCGAGAAGTTCGCATCTACTAGAGCGCCTAAATCGACGGCATCTATCGGCCACGTGGTGACCCGGCTGTCAAATGCGAGCTGAAATAGAGTTCCAACAGACAGCTTGCCACTTCACTCTTGCAGCGGTCGATTCTGCTAATAGCTGGTTTTTTGTGCTGTCTTATTTGGATAAAAGCTATATGAATAAGTGTGATCAACCCTGAAATAACAAATAGGAAAAAATAAATATGAGGATTATATAAAAAATGAACCATACCCATATTAGTGCAAAAAGAACAATTATGCACTTCAATGTTTATGGAAAAAGAATTAACAACAGTAAAGACTACTACTACATCTCGAATAAAATTATGACGGGCACGAGGACAAAACATAAACCCTAGCACGTTCGTTAAAGGACGTCAGTGTCAAAGATTTGAGTTCTATGGGCAACTGGTTATACATCTTATATATATATACTATATCTACAATCGTTTATATTGAGAAGTGGAAAGACGAGGAGTAATCATCATATCCTTATTTCTTACATTGACATCAAGAGACTTAATCGTCAGCATGACTTTGTCAAACAAGTACTTTTGATATTGTATCAGCTTCAGTGATGCAAGAATGATATACAACATCAGGATGACTGAAAACATGGAAGATCAAAACATTACACAGAATGCGTTTCCAAATGCGGCTGAATATAATTCTTTGATCATCAATAAGCTTTACTCTCAGAAATGATGCTATAATTGTGATAGAATTGTAAACATCATTTCGATTATTTTTTCATCCAAAAACCACAGCCGTCGATTTCTCAGAGTTCAAAAACAGGTTATGATTTTTTGGGACAGTACTCAAAGTCATCAGGTCTTTATTAACTTTGTCTATTACTTGTTCAACGTCTTCATACTTAAATGATATGTAAGCTTGGGTGTGGTCAGCATACGGAGAAATATAACAGGTCTTTAGTACTTATGGTGCTGCAATGTTGAGAAAATGCCTTGTTTATGGTACAAGGCCATGCTTCCACCATGTGTAGCTAGTGAAAGGGCTGTGCTATTTTCCACTAAGGCCAAAATTAGACAATCATCTTTGTATGTCAGGGATCTATTATATTTCTATGATGAAAAATATGACTTATTATATACATATATTTGCTAACAGTTCAGGCATGAATATATGTCTCTGACTATTTCCCTCGTCTTAATTTTTACCAATCACAAACGCCCAATTTTGAACTACAAATGGTTTCTGGATGGAAAAATTGTATGACAGCGCCTGTCAGCACCTTTTTCGAGTTTACCCGTGACAAAACTTGACAGCTGTTATCACCAAAAATTACAATGCCTATGATATTAAGTAATTATGGACTCCTAGGACACCAGAAAACGGCGCTAAACAATTTTGTAATATTGTTTTTAAAGTATGCAGAATAATCTGTTACTCATGAAATAGTTTTGTCTCATACCATTAGAGTATCTAATTTTTTCCTGTTAAAAAAATCAAAAAATACAAACCAAAGTTATATTTTTTTAAGCAGAAGCGTGAGTGCTGGTGCCAACAAAAATTCGAGTCGAAGTCGAGGATTTTTACACACTTAGCAGCGTGTTTTTTCGATCTTTTTTTCGGAAAACTGATGCTTTTATGATATTACTCGTGATAATACGTTTTCGCAATGAGAACCGTTGATCATACTTTTCACAAGTGTATCTTCTTACGCAATAAACTTAGAAACTTTGGATAGTACAAAGCGGCAACTATGTTTATCTATTCTAAAATAGTTCTATGGATGCCCATAGTGGGGTGGCAGGCTCCCTCTGAGAATCCGGTTTGACCTTATAATTGGAATTTTAAAAGTTGTGTACAAATCGTATACAGGTTACTGTCCTCACACAGTGGTACCGAGGCATGTGCTCACGAGTTGGCGTGAGGTAACTATACAGCGATTGGAGATACCAACCTAAGCCACTTTAGTCCACTTGAGTGCCGCCAGACGAGGCATTAAGCAGGTTGAACGATTAAAGGAATAATGGCGTTGGTAGGGTTGAATTTGTCTCTTAGAGCCAGTTGCCCAATGCGAAATTAAACTCAGTTAATATTTTGAACCTAGCTTAGCGGCAAGTGGGCGTTGCACAAACATGGTTTAGGCTTTAACCCCGTTCAAATTGTGCCTTGAACTTGTTTTTTCCGAACGCACAATTTTGACAGCTTAAACGGAGAACATGTCAAAAAAGTATATTCGTTTCTAAAGTGTAGAGCAGAAACCTGATTATGGATCTTTCACGCCTAGGTTTGAACAGGGGTATTTTGCAGACAATTCTTTAATTGGAGACAGTGCTTACCCTTTGAAGAATTACATCTGATAACATCCTTGATAGATCCCACTGGCAGGACAGATCAGCTTTTCAATGAGTCGCTAACCAGAACCAGGAATTGTATAGTACGCAAATTTGAACAATACAAGAGAATTAGCTTAAGCACGGAAAAAGTGAAAGGAACGGTCATAGCAACAGCAGTACTTGAAAATATAGCTGAAAATGAGCCACCTCTTGGTCATGAAGAAGATGCAATCAATTTTGTTAGCAGTGTAGATATAGAGCCATATATGATCATTTTTGGAATAGATAATAGAAACTCCGTTACTACACGTCAACTAATAGGTTATTTCAATGAAATTTTAATTGACCTTGTACCTTTATTAATGAAATATACATCATTTACACTTATAAAATTGGCTAAGTAAAAATAGGAGTGCTACAATTGTGCAGCACCATCAAAATTTGAAGGAAAGCCTTCAATCCTGGCCCCAGATCTCGAATTTCAAGGTCTGTTTCCGTTATTTCTATATTCTTTTCTGATCCGCCTCCCATTCCAGTAACATACGTTTTCTCTTCGCTGAGTTTTGCCTTGGTTTTATTCTTCATATTCCTCCCTCAATGTTTCGAGGTCTCTTACTTTACTTTACTTTACTCTCAGTGTTGAATATACTTGCTATGTTCTTCCAGCACTCCTGTTTTTTCTAGTTAATATTCGAATCACTCCTTTTGCATTCTATAATGCTTTTAAATTTTTTGGCGTAGCTAAAATTTGTCGTTTTTTTTTCTCAGACATGATCTAGAAAATATTGCATATTACAACTAGATAAATTCTCTTTGTCTCAAAGGTTGTACATTATATATTATATTATACACTTACCAAGATATTCGAACTTCTTAAGAGGCTTGGACCTACCGATAGCTCAGAAAATGCTGTGATCATAATCCAATCGTCATTCAAAATTCAAACCACAAAACCAAAAGCGACACAGAACAGAAGATTAATTGTCATTTTCTATAAGAATCATGCTGTCGTGAAACCCTCTTACAAGATATTTAGTTTACACAGAGTCCAACTAAGCGCGGTTCAAGTTTCAAGTGAACAACCGAGAAATAAGACTTGCACTCGGTTCAACAGTAAACCAAGCTTACTTAGTTAAACCTGGGTTTAAGCTTGCATTGTGCAACTGGCCCTTACAGTCGATATTGAAAGTTGGTTGAAAGCTGGTGCTGTAAACTGATTTGTAAAGGTCTAGTGATTGTGAGGATTTCACCCATTTGTGACGGCTTGCCTATCTGTATAGCTTCATCAGCATATAAAATAAATGTCGAATTAGTATCACAGTCTGTAACGTCATTTGTGTAAATTAGAAAAAGTGTTAGACCTAAAATCCAACCTTGTGGAGCTCATTACCTAAGAAATTATACTTCCAGATGCGCCGACGTGCAAGCCGAATCAACCACGCATCTATGGAGTGGCAAAACAGGAGCGCGCGCAAATCGTCTGTCACGTGGACGCCAACCCTTCCGACGTGCAGTTCCGGTGGACCTTCAACAATTCCGCTGACAGCGTCGACGTTGCACAGGCGCACGTGCATCGTACTGGTACGGCAAGTGTCGTATCTTACACGCCTGTCACGGAGCTGGACTATGGTACTTTGCTGTGCTATGCTTCGAATAAGATCGGAAGCCAGCGGGTGCCTTGTGTTTTCCACATCATTGCCGCAGGTAAGGTTTATTATACTGGTTGTAGTAAAAGTAAAAAGGTGACAGTAGGATAGAAACACTGGAAATATAAATTAAGCACAGGAAGACCCTAACGTGTGCAAATGATATCAGGAAAGGATTTCTTGCCCACTATTTGATTCTATAATTGGTATGTATTTCCACTCTAGTATCAAATAACCAAATTGATGATTTGACATTTCCTAAACACAATTCAGTTTTCTGAATGGACGTTTTTATGATGGCAACAGGATACAGATGTTGACGTCACATAAACGTCATAATAGTGTCGTCCTAAGTACGTCAGTAATTGGTCATGTGACGTCGGTGGCGCGGAATAACCTTAAAATGATGTCTCAATGGTGCAGCCCTGCTACCAAGAAAACGTGTCAAGTCTATATCAGAGGTTTTCGAACTCATTTCGTCTTTCATCCAAGCACCTTCCCCCCGCCCGTCACCTAGATCTTTGACAAGACAAAGAGTGGTCTAGATGGATGAATATAGCGGCAGACAGTAAGGGAATGGCTTTTTATCTTCCAGATAAGGTATGCCTTTAATAATGTGCCACGGCTTTTTTTTATAAGCAAGAGGAAATGGTGATGTGATTCCTCTTTCTTTTCCTTGTTAAGTAATTAAGTAATAAATGAATAAAACAATATAAATTAAATCTAAAGCCAATGTAAAACAGCTGACAATCTCCGAGATTAGTCGGAACTTATTTTGGTTGTCCAAGCACACAAAAGAAAAGAATCTAACAGCAATGACGATACCTAATTAACTGTAGAGAGAGCCAAATAAAACAAAATATTTAAATACAAGCACAATATATTATCGAAACAGTCAGCACATATGCTCCACCACTGGAGTGCAGGTTAAAAGAAAAGATATTCAAAACTACGTGGCAATAAAATTATTAAACCGTGATAATTAACCCTGCAAAACGTCAGAAGGCTTAACAGATATTTTAACGCCAAAACATAAACTTATCTGGACAGTGGTATTTTTCCAGTTACGGCTCTAGGCGCAGTTGAGATGTCCACAGCTCAAAAACGCTCCCGTCAAAAATCAGTTGTCAGCAATGGGCAGTGACGTGATGAACGTCACAAGGTAGGGGCTGCTTTTCTCGTTTTCTAAAATTTACGGTGTTAAAAACTCTAGAGAGAAATACTACTTAAAAAAGGTTTACTTTACTCAACTCATTCAAAACACTCAGAACTTGAATAAAAATCCATGTACATTCTCTTTCACAAGAAAAGTGGAGCAAATGCAAAAATATAAAAAGTACTAAAGTGATATACCCTCAGAAATGTATCCCTTGTTCTAAAAGGAAGTTACGGCAGCTCAAATATCAAAATCATGATCAATATAATGTGGTAAGCCCAAAAGACGGTGACATGTAGGCAATACCCTATATTTGAATACGTAAAATGCCATACAAAATCAAGTACACTCTAAGAATTTCAGTCAGCAATAATCAATATCCACAAAATACACAACTAAAATAATATTTTACCTGTTCACATCAGGGTTTTTGTCAAGAGGAAGGGATGGCTTCCAACAAAATCGGCTGCGAAACAGCTACAAGGCAGCTACAAAACAAAGCTGCAGGAGTGTAAATGGTGTTTCTCCGTAACGCCTTTCCCCGCTGAAGGTTAACATCCTATTAGAAAATGGACGAGGTAGTACCCAAACCAAAACAACTAAACGCAAGGTACAAAATAAAAGGGTACTACTCCATAAATTGGTATTTGAGAGTCTAATATCGAAGGATCTGAAAATCAATGAAACGTCAGCCACATTACAATTTCCGCAGGAAGGGAAAAAGCAAAATGGCGCTGGACGCGTCTGCCCTTCTGCAGACGTCAATTTTTAAAACAAGGTATCTTGATAAGAAAGAAGGTATCTCGATAGGTAAAGAAGGTATCTTGATAGCATAGCAAATATTCATATACGGCTAGTAAGTGTAGAAATCACAAGGTAGCGCGCTGGTTTTCAGGGGCAAAACCAACTCTCTCTATGAGGGACCAACAAAATTTGATGAGGAAATTTCTGAGATAGTCGTTAATAATACTATAATATTGGTTTCCCAAAGATTTCAACACAATACCGAATCGCTTAGAAAGAAAGATATAATATGTGGGAAATTACGCAATCAATAAACTATGAAATTTGAGAAAAGAAAATCATTAAAAGGGGTTTGTCTAGGAATCGGCACCCTACCATTGATGATGAGAAATTCACATTTCTAGTAAGTAATCAAAATAGTAAAAAAGGATGAACAGCTTCCCTTTGCATTTGACAGAAATTAAAATTCTACGTCATAATATCCATCCATTAAGTCAAAGTCGCATTTAAAGGTCAAATACGTGAGACTGGGGAATATTCCTTTGACGATTATTGATGGAATTATCAAAGTCAGTCCAGCTTTAAATAAAGATTTCAATGGTAACCTTGAATTTGACATTGAGTCGCACCTTCAAGGTTGTAATGGTACAATAGAACTTATTAGAATGTAAAATCTTGTTATGTTACTAAATTCAGTCACTACTAATATTATAAATGAGAAAGAAAGAAAAACGGCACTGAATCAAATTTGGTACAGAAATACTATAGTCTGGATTAGCACATAGGATACAACCCAAACGGCTTAATCGAATTTGACAGGTGTATGACGCGGAAGCGCCCAGTCGTTGGTCCGACCGAAAACTAAGGGTATATAAATAGGGCATTTGAATCCTGCATTTACTGCGTTTCTACATTCGCTTTCTTAGCATGATCGTCTTGGTATAGATTTGTTTGGTGTTTTGTTTTACCTCAAGAATGATGCTTATGTATGTTTTTTCAAAAAATTTTGAAAGCACGGGTAACGAGCTAAGAGTTATATAAGTAAGGCTGGCTTCCACTGTTTACCGTGGTATCCTTTTTCTAAACGAACATTTATGATGTGAAAAAGATAAAAGAAAGTTATAGGTAGACGTAATTTAATCATAGTTCGTGACAGATTGTCAATTCCGTTCCACATTTTTTGGAACGCCTTATCTTGGTCACTTAGAAATTTTTAAATTTTTAAATGGCAAGGGGTATCGAATAATAGCTAGTTCTAATTCCTTTATTTTGACGTATAGTTTTTAAAATCGGTCGATCCGTTTTTAAGAAAATCTTTATTTATTTTAATCTGCCCAGATAGAAAACAAAAACACAAGAAAATATCACTTTATTTCTGAAAGTGTTCAAAATGTTGCCCGTTAGGGTTTGTCAAATCTACAATTCGGTTATAAGTAATTGAAAACTGAAACTACCAACATAAACAGCAAATCGGAAGATTCGATGTGGCGACAACCAAATAACAAACCGAAATTCTTTCCGCATTCTTTTTATCAACACACAAACTGTGTCAATTATTATACCTGTTTAGTTATTTGTTGCTAAGGGAAAGAAAGAATTTAATTTGTTGTCAGTTACCTTTGTGACAATCTTGGGATAGTAAAAAGTAATTTATTGATTCAGATTTTACTTCCAAAACGGTTTACACACTAGTCGAAAGAGTGGAAATGATTCTAGTTTATGGTGCTCAAAATCAATGTGCTCGGCAAACTGCCGTCACGTTTAAGGCCAGACATCCTTGGAAGGGGGAAGATAGCTTCGCATAGGTATGTTTTGGACCTGGTTGCTAAATTTACTCAAACTGTTGCAAATAAAAAACGTGATCATTGGAGAGTTTTGGATAATGCCGCTCAAGTTGAAGTTTTGGGTCATTTTGAAATAAATACTAATACTTCATTACGCAAAATTGTTGCTGCGACGGTATTTCATTAGGCTCTGAACATACAGTTAATAAACTCCATAGATTTCATCCATCAAAAATGAAAATATTGCAAGAGTTAACTGAAGATGATTTCGATAGGCGAGTTGAGTTTTATGAACAACTGCAGCCATTAATGATAATACCATTCATGTAAAGAATATTTGCTCCAGTGATGAATGCACATTTTATCTAACTGAATTTGTTAATAAGCATAACTGCAGGTATTGGAGCAATGAAAATCCCTATGCTGTTGTAGAAGGATATACCCAGGATCCTCAAAAAGTCAATGAATGGGCAAGCATTTTGGGAAACAAAGTGATTGGGCCATTGTCTATTAATGGAAATTTGAATGGAGAAACTTATTTGGATATGTTGTAAAATACCATCAATCCGCTTATCACTGACACCATTGAAAACCAAATCGAATAGGATGGAAACCCTATACTTGATGAGGCTGGAATATATTTCCAGCAAGATGGCGCTCCTCTTCACTATGTTCTTCCAGTTCGGCAATGGCTAGACGACGAGTTTCCAGATAAATGGATATGGCGAATAGGGCCGATAGAATGGCCTGTTACATCTCTTGATTTGATGCCGTTAGACTTTTTTCTATGGGGTCGTTTCAAATCTGTTGTGTTTACTCCACAACCTGAAAGTTTGAATGCACTTCGTCAACGCATCATCGAAAGCTTTTTGACAATGTCGGTCAGGAATTTGAACATCGCTTATATCATTGTTTGTCCAATAACGGGCAACATTTTGAACACTTATTGAAATAAAAAGTGATATTTTCGTGTGTCTTTGTTTTCTATCTGAACAAAAATTAAGATAAATAATAAATGATAATAAAAGATTTTTCTAATTTTCCTGAAAACTAATCGACCGATTATGAAAAATCAAACGTCAAAATAGAGGACTTTGAAAAGCCTTAAGGAGATGACCCTGGGGGCAGAGGGTGAAAGGGGTGAAGTAGTTTTTGGTTAAAAAGTTGTCACCCTTGACAGATCTTTTGACGTGTTTCGGCGTTTTTTCTTTAAGTCAGTGATTTTCAATAAATATGTGATGGGACATTTGCAAATGGATTGTTAGCATTGATTCATATTGTAAAGGAAATGTTGAAACTTGTAAACTTTTAATGTGCTCTGTTCTATTCTTCTTCCCTCCTCCTATGCAAATGCACCATCTTTTCTGGGCGAGC